CGTGACCTCGATGACGCAACAACATATCCAGTTGTTTTCTTCTCATTACTTCATATTTTAGTTGAACATTAGTACTATATTCAGTAGATTAGTTAATGTCAACCAGAATGAAGATTTAGAATGAATTAAATTCAAGACCTAAGAGCAACTAGTTGTCAATGAATAATGGACTTTTTTGTTTTATATATTTTCTAACCACAAGTGCATATTTATAATTTTAGCTAGCTTACATGATTTTTAAATACCTGTTAATGTTCCAGATATGTGCAAGTTTCACATGTGTTAAAAAAAACCCATTAAATTGATCTTGTTTCTAGTTGCCTTTGTTACTTTTTCATTTTCAGTTTTTATACTTGTTACCACCCATGGAGAACATTGATTACAGTGACATTGTTTCATGAAGTTGATAACAGTGTCCTTCAATGATTGTGCAAGTAATATCTATAGGTTATGGCCCCACTTATGTGGAATGAGGATGACCAATGATGTTGTAGCACATGTCATGCTTGGTAAATGCAAGTTTTCTTTGAAAGTAGAAAGGTTCCATTTAGTCCATATGATTCTAAGCTTTACCTAGTCTTGATATGGCTTTCATCATGTAATCATGAAAAGAAAACTAAGTGAAGAAGGGACTGTTTATTGTGACCTAAGCATACACACACTGTATTTTTGGTTTAAATGTTCATTAAAGATTGTTTTCATTGTGTTTTACACATTGGGTCTAGTCTGGATGTTCCTTAGCATGAAATCAGCCAGAACAACTTCAGCACTGTTTTGTAATTCCATATGGTGAATGAATGAATGTCGTGTTTGGTGGACTTATCCAATATAGCTCAAAAATATTTTCATTTCACCTGAAAATACCACATTAAATTCAAGGCCCAAGAGCAATTAGTTGACAGTAGATAATGGGCTGTCTTGTTTTATTTATTTTTCCTATAAGAGCATATGTGATTTGGATTAGTTTACATGCTTATTAAGTATCTATTGATATTTTATATGCATCTATCTTTGCCTAACAGGTGATCAGGGTGAAAGTGGTGACCCTGCCCCTCCACCACTGCAACATCTTCGACCCAGAGGATTTCAAGGAGACAAAGGTCTTAAGGGGCCAAAAGGAATTAAAGGTCATGCTGGCAGCATAGGTCTTCCAGGTTTGGATGGCATTATTGGAGCTAAAGGTGAACGTGGACCTGCAGGCCTTTCTGGAAGTCCTGGGCCTCAAGGCCCCAAAGGGATCAACGGATATCCAGGAAGGAATGGTACATGTATTTCTCATATTTATCTACATTGTTAAAAATGTGCTTCGGAAAAAATTAAAATATCAATGTTACTGAAAGAAATAGATTGTCAAAGCTTGAAAAAATTTGGAACAGAAATAATATATGAAATACTGTAATAGTTAATTAACGTGTTATATATATTTATTGTTTAAGTTGCTTATATTTATGTTAATAATAGAAGACATCAAAGAAGTTAAAAGCTGCACAAGTAGAAATATAATCGCAACTGAAGTTTAAAGATGCTTTGTTTGTGAATGTTTACTTATTCATGCTTTTGTAAAAGATATCTAACTGATCTCTTGACTAATTCTCTTTTATTTTTTACTAGGTTTAAAAGGCTTTTCTGGTTCTCGAGGTCAGCCTGGAGAAGCTGGGCAGAGGGGTCCTCCAGGAGCACCAGCTCCATCTCGTGGGTACTACTATACTCGTCATAGCCAAACAGTTGATATACCAAATTGCCCAAGGGGTACTACACCAATGTGGACTGGTTACTCCCTTCTCTACATCATGGGGAATGAAAGAGCGCATGGTCAGGATCTGGGTGAGCACATTTTCTAGACAGTAGAACAAAAGAAAATTATCTTCTTTATTTATGTGTATTTACTAGGGGTGTAGGAAAATAAATCAAACTTTTTTCCCTGAAGTAATGACGAATTTGGTAGGACCGCACATATCATCAGTCATGAGAAAATGTCATTTCAACGTACTCTTGGGTGTTTGACTCTTCAAATTTCATTTTTTCTGAAAACTTTGAAATCATGGTTCTCACTAAAACTCAGATTTGTGTTGCATGTGCTGCCTCGGGATGGCTCAGAAACTAGTCGCAGACATGCTCTGAGAATTCAAGTCTTCCAATTGACACATTGCAATGCCAGATTTGAAAAATCTGATTAATGCCTCAAAAGTTTCAGAATTGATTAATTTGAAACTTTGCCTGAATGTGAGAGACACAAACATGAAACCTTGATTCGTGTTTTCACTAATGTGCTCACAGAGACAGCCAAAAAAACACATGTTTGTTGCATTGCTGAAATCTTTTGCAAATTGATTAAAACTCTTGGTTGAAAACAATGGTAGCCCAATAAAGCGATATTGATACTTGGAATTAATTTTTTGATTGAATTTAAACATTTTTTTACTTTGTTATGCTCTCGGGGAGAAAAGTGTGATTTATTTTGCAACACCCCTTATTTTAATGGTAATGGGAATACATGATCCTATTTGCTTAGATCTCTATTCTCGCGCTTAGAGCTTTATGTATTAATTACATTAAAGGTGTGTATTGTTATTATTTTCTTGCAATTAAGAATGGACAGGCCAATAAGAAACTGGGAAACATAATAGCTAACTATATTGAGAAAGTGTTTTAAAAAATTATGTAGATGTATCAGCTGCCCCATATATAATTGAAGCTCTTTACCTGCCCTTACACATGCTTCTGTGACAAATACTGAATAGTGATTTTGAATGTATCTGAGAAAAGTATTGGTTTGTATCTTTATTTGGAAGAAAAAAAAAAGAGTTGTACAGCTGAAATCCTAAGTGTTCTTATCTTTGAGAAACTTATATTTCTTAACTTAGGTGGTCCTGGAAGCTGCTTACGAAGATTTTCAACCATGCCATTTATGTTTTGCAATATCAATAATGTATGTAATCTGGCATCACGTAATGACTATAGTTACTGGTTGAGCACAACTGAACCTATGCCAATGATGATGACTCCAATTGTAGGAAGAGATATACAGAGATACATTAGTCGCTGTGTTGTTTGTGAATCTTCTACTCAGGTGTGTATCAATACTGGGATACGAGTTAATATTTAAGAAAATATGTTCAGAGATGTATTATTCATGGTGATGTTTCTGAATCTTCCACTGAGGTGTGATCCAAAATTCAGATAACAATTAATATAAGAAAATATATTCAGAGATATACCAATCATTTTGATGTTTGTAAATATTTATTTCATGCAACAGTTGCTTAGAATGAAAAAACTTTGACATCTCTTTTTTTTAATATTTGTATTTGACCTTCTTAAAAAAAATGTGAAGGAAGAATATTGTATGAGATTGATAATAACTTTTAAATGCTGATGGTTTCTTGTCAACTGTTGGTTTTAAGCAGAGGAATTCAAAGAAAATCTATAAGATAATCATGCTTCCTGTTCTATAGCTTCTCAGGTGCAAGTGTGTAGCACATGAAGGTTTTTTACACAACATTTTATCCTTATTCAGGTTATTGCTGTTCATAGCCAAACTATGGAAATACCTGAATGCCCTGGTGGGTGGGATGGACTCTGGATTGGATACAGTTTCTTTATGGTTAGTTGGTCTCCTTTTATTCTTTGAAATCTTCTATAAATTTATTGAAATGTGTGGGTTTTTAATAAAAATTTTGTCAGTTTTTTGTGTAGTGGAGAAATTGTTTTCCTTCACAATATTGCTGTAAATGATTCTTGTTATCCATACACTAAAGTAAAAACAGTTATTTTCCTTCACAGAGCACTGAAAAAAAAGCAAACATTAAAATAAAGCAATTATTTTTATTCCCAAAAGTACATGATAGAAAGTATCCCTGTTTTTCAGAACACTAATATGAAGTACAATTTTCACTTCACCTCTGACTAATAATACATTAACACATTCTTCTTCCCATGATAGCTAATTTAAAAAGGAATTTGTTTTACTTTTAGGAAAAATGTTCTCCTCAGAACACCTATATATATATATATATATATAAC